ACAAGAACCAGCTGGCTGAGAAGGACGAGTTCGAGGCCAAGCAGAAGGAGCTCGAGGGCATCGTGAACCCCATCATGATGAAAGTCTACCAGGCGGCTGGCGGCGGCGGCATGCCCGAGGGCGGCATGCCGGGTGGCGGCATGGGCGGTGCCCCTGGTGGCGCCAGCGGCCCCACCGTTGAGGAGGTTGACTAGGCTAAGCAGGCCGTTGTGTGCTGCAGGTGCTTGTGGACGTAGGCTCCGTCTGCGAAGCAAGCGGCCTGCCGTTGCACCCCTCCAGAAACCAGGAATGCACATCCGGTGCTTGTACAGTGCAGGGAAAAAGCAGCATTTGCAGTTTCTGCAGCTGAGATGTTTGGGGTCAAGTGCAATAGGTTCTCCCAGCTGGCTAGGCATTTGTGTTGACACGTGGCTTTGCTTGAAATCGATGCCATCCGCTTTCGTTGGTGGATCTGATGCTGCAGATTTGGTGCCAAGAGCTTGCAGAGCAAACTCTGCATGCCGCGCTATCTCAAGGCGGAGCGCCATGGCCCCCTTGATTGCGTTGTTCTCAAAGATGTGTGCCCAGGCTTGCGGGCAACTCATCCCGGGCATCACAGGAGTCGCATGGTCCTTCACAAGCCCTCACCTCATGGATCGCTCGGCCTACATCGCCGTGTCTGGGCGACATGCTTACGTGACTGGTGCCTATGATGACGGCTTGACGGTGTTGGACTTCTCTGACCCAAGCACCCCGACTGTAGTAGGAACCATCAAGGACCAGTGGCTCGACAACTGCAGGGATGTGAAGGTTGCTGGGGACATAGCCTTCGTGGCCGGGTACGGGCCTGATCGCCTGTGCGGGTGTTGAGTTTATAGGCTTTTTGGGTGTTAAGCGCAAAGTGAATTTGTCACACCATGCTTGTCATCGCAAAGTAGTGACAGCTCTGATCGGGACGAGTGTTAGCCTAGTGACTCTTTTGACCAGAATAAGCCAGCTGTTCACATACATCTGCATGCGAGACTGTGACCAGGTATCCCTGACCTGCCAGCATTGCCGCTCTGGAGTTTGAGTTTAGGAATTTCTAGTCTGGGTGAAAGGAAGACACCAGCCCTTCAGCAGTTTGGACAACTGCCCCGGCCCGGTGCTGTTCGTTTTCTCATGAAGTACTGCTGGGGCGGAGACACTCCAGGACTTTGAGTTTCAATGAAGTACGCGCATGAAGCCAGCTGTACTATTTTGATTTGTTTGCCAGAATCACAGTGTCTTGCAAACACTCAACGTGACGGCGGCTGATTTGCCTTTCGTTCACATCCTCCACATCTGGAGGATTTCATGGCAAGAGCTGCCTGCTCTTAGCACCCAGAGGAACTTCGACATAAGCGGCTCGAAGCGTTGTATGGCTTTCCGGTTTGCCCGCAACAGCTGCTGCACAAGGGTTACAGCTTGGACGATTCGACCAAGCTCGCCTGGCTACAGGGTGGCAAAAGACTGGATGTCTCTCCGCAACCGCACTTGCAAGATGCTCCGATTCGGCTACAGCTTGTCCTGGCTAAGTCATCCACAGCTCAGTTGTTGCTGCAAGCTGGTTTACACAAAGAATTGCAGGATGGCCGGGGCATGGCAGCTGTAATGCTGGCAGCTTCCAAGGGCCACGCGGAGATCGCGCAGTTGCTGCTGCAAGTGAATGCCAACAAGGATGGAAACTGCTGGCATGTGCCACTCTGGGATCACGCAGCTTTCATTTACAGTAGCAGCTGCGTGCTGCCTGTGTGTCACCGCTGGCCTGTGACATCCAGGCATCACGCAATTGTTACTGCAATTGCTGGCAGGATGAGATCGGCAGGACAGCTTGCATGGAGGCAGCTTGAGTGTTTCGGGAGATCGAACAGTTGCTGCGGCAAGCCGGTGCCGAAAAGAACTTGCAAGGTGCACAACTCAAGACCGCTCTCATATAATCTTACCGGGTTGAACCCCCCCCAAAAAAGCCACTCTGGTGTCCAGCGCAGGGTGGCCTGCAATTGCAAAGCCCTCTCGCCCTACTAAGGCTGACGATGATGACCTTGAGGCAGGTCAAGCGGGTTGCTTTTGGTGGTACTAAAATGGGACCCTAATTTTGGGATCCCGCCTGCTGTTAAGCAACATGAAATCAGTTTCCACTACCAGGAAACCCACTTTTTGAGTACATAACCATGCTAGGGCCTCACCCTAAATGGCAGTTTAAGCGGAAATGGTACCAGATAGAATACTGGCTGGAATTAATTCGATCTTGTGAAATAGCCGGGGAATGAGTTTTTGTGGTTGCTTTTGGGTCTGGGATGCGGTACCTCCAGGCTCGAACCAGTGGGCCACATTTGAGCAAGAGAAGGTGCTGGGGTGCTTCATGTTACAAGGAACACTGAGAGAGATCGACATCTCCAAGCCCGAAACCCCATGAAACCCTATCAATCCTGAGTTTCCATATCATGTTCCACTTTCTTTTCCATTTGATTCTCCATTATGAAGTAAGGTCATACCACTGCACCCTATACATCTTCGTACTATTCCCAATCCCGCCATTATGGTACCCTAAGCCCTACTCCACTCTCGTTTAGTTCAGGTTTGCGCTCTGTGGGGGATTAGGCTTACAGTCCCCTTAAGCAGATAGAATATGGATGAATATGGGGTATATGGGGCTCTTATTATAATATACCCAAAGCCATATTCTATCTACTTAAGGGAGACTGTAGGGTTCAGGATGGTTCAGGGTTCAGGGTATTGCTTGGGAGAGGTCCCATCAGGCCCTGCACCTGCACCACCCTAAAGCCCTAGCAGTGGTATTTGTGGTACTTGGGGCTACTGAAAGGTGGAAGACTTCCTCCATCCACCGTAGAGCCCTAAGTCCCCTAAACCCTAAAACCCTAAACCCTAAGACCCTGAACCCTAAACTGGACCAATTAAGGGTCTTAGATCTGCCTGCTACCCTATTGAGGTGTTTTTGGCGTGTATCCCTACACCTTACCCCAACTTAGTTGGTCCAGTTTAGGGTTTAGGGTTTAGGGGGCCGCCTAAGAAGGGATATCGGTTTTGGGCAGGAAATACGCCCCAAACCTGAACCTAAAACCGACGCATCCCTATATGAAAGCCCAAGTGATTCTTATAGACCTGAACCCTATGAACCCTAAACTAAACCTGCCAACCCTAAACCCTAAACATGTCAACCCAAACCCTAAACCCTAAACCCTAAATTCTGCAGGCAAGGCTCCGCAAGCTGCGCGAATGAATCGACGAGCCGTAAGCCGTCTCACCAATTCCTCAGCCCCTGTTTGAGCTACTGAGGGGTTATATAGGGTTATCCAGGGTTATATAGGGTTATCTAGGGT